TCTCGCTAACATGGAGGTCGCGGGTTCGCTCCCGGTGTTGGCCAATACGAAATATATACTAAGTGCGTAAGACGCATGTGGGTCGCGGGTTGATCCCGCTGTTGACCGAGAAGGTTCATCGAGATTTTCCGGCGTGGTTTCCCCTTGTCAGTGATGCAGGACGGTCGGCCTGACACGGACAGCTGTCTAGTCGTTCGGGTGGGACGAAAACTGTGGTCCCGTGTACATATTGGCGTGCACGTAAGAGATTCTTTGACAGTTGGTCTTATAAGGCCGCCGTCCGGGCAAAATTTCTTCATTAGGCGAGTCGGAGCAGAACAGTAGGACGTTAAACCCCATTTCATTTCACTACTTGGTCCGAGTGGTCTTATATATTACTATAATAAGGTCTAACATAAAAACATAATTTGACCCGACTGGTCCTGGCCAGAGTTGTCTTTGGTCCGACTTGTATGCGTACCATATCAAGATTCACAAAATACAAAGTAACATTCGGCGTTCCTGAAAGGTTAAGCACACACTCCCTATAGTGTGACACCCGCCACTGAATGTTCGGCACAAATTATACAAAAACACGAGCCCATGCAGTCCTAATCCATATTATTAATATGTGGTTTCTTTTTATTTTCGTTTCCTTTTAAGGTCTTAAATAAACCTTGCCATACTAAGACCTCCCAAGAAATAAAAAAAAATGATCAACTAATATTACCAGCAGCCTGGAAGCCATGTTTAATGAAATATATATTTAAATACTTTCTCTTTATAGAACAACTGATATCCCCTTTGAAATGCCTATTTAAATAAATTCTCTTAAATTTTGTGTATTTAAAGAGCTTGATAACACCCCACCCCACCCTACCAGAAACAAAAATGGACAACGGTTGATCGATCAGCACCTCCAATAAAACAAACATGTTAAAGATCAATACGTTAATCTCCAATAATATACTTAATATAATATATATACATTTAAAGACCTATAGGCTAAAACCCGTTAAATACAACTGACAAGTCTTTCTAAATGAATGATGATTAACACAGGATTAATAAATTGATATTATATTAATCTATACGGGATTATCATGACTGTTGACGTTACAACAGTACGGGTTTTTCTGCTTGTCCCAATTCCTTTATTCATTTGACTATGGAAGAATAACTGAGAAAAGTGGCCTTTAAATTCATATAAATGATCTTTCTCTGTCTAAACAACGAACATAATGGAATATTTATCTAATGAATACAACTTGAATGAAAGCTAAGTTAGAATTTTACTTAATACTTCGTGTTATATACACACACACTTTAGTTGTTAGGATTGATAACTTTAGCTATATAATATAATGTGTGTATATGTTTTTTTCTTATAGGTATTCCGTATACTCGAGTGTTCGTACGTTGACATTTGGCAAGATAGTTACTATGAAACGCAGAAGGAGACATGTTTAAGTGTGTAAGTGCTTGTTATTCAGGTGTAAATAAATATGAAACAACTAAACGAAATGGTGGACAGTTAACCGGTATATATTTTTAAAAAAATAAAAAACGTAAACTACTATATTATGTGAAGTGTGTTGAGAGCTAATAAGGAAGTTTGGATTTTTAAAAATATTGGCGGAGTGCGTATCGATAGACAATTTATCATTGTATCAGGATTTTTTAAATAAAAAAAACCCAAAAATCTTGGAGATTTTGTTAAAAGGATATTTTAAACAGTGCTGATTTATTGACGTTAAGATTAAATCGAGTCAAATATGCATTTAACAAAACATTTATTGTGATTAGACTGTCAGAGCTTACTTGTATTGGCGGATATCATGGAAGGGAATATACTTATTGATAGCGACGACTTCCTCTTGGTGTTACCAAATGAACCAGATCGTTGTGATGTTGAGTCTGGTATTGGAAGCCTTTCCAGCGATGAGGATTTACGTTCTTCGTTCTTAACAGGCGAGAACGATAGATTCATCTCACGCAAGCCCAAAAGAAGAGTTCAGTTTCAATCTGAGGAAAATTTAGTCCTGATTCGGGAGATTCCTCCGCGTGGATTTTATGGTTCTGACGTTTCTGGTGATGAGAGTTGTTCAGAGGATGAAGACGGGGATGATGATGGAGATGACAATCAAGATGATGGCGACGAAAGCGACGAATCAGAGAGTAGTTATGAAAGTGACGATACTGAAGATACTGAATCGAAAAAAGTGGTGGTTGCGCGAAATGAAGCAGCTAAGGGATCTTATAATGTGGAGAGAAGTCCACGCAAATCGGTTGATAGGATTTCCAAAATAACCTCCATGGCTCTTTTACCTGGTGCTAAGAAAACAGCAAAACCAAAGGGTGCCATTAACTCTGAGAAAAAGACAAGACTTGCTTCGCGCAAACAACGGGTGAAGAAATCTGGTCAAGTTAATGACAATTCAGAGAGGAATGCTCATCGCCTCATCATAGCTGATGGAAAGAAACGAAAATATGTTCCTAAAGTTTCTAGTGTGGCGAATTCAACGTCCAGTAGTCGCAACAAAGAGACGTCGCGGTTAAAGGTGATCAATTATTCTAGTGCTCCATCCACATCTGCAAAATTTAGTACAAAACTCATCAGATCTAAAACTCCGACAAGAATTTCCATAGACTCACCAGTTCCAATCAGACCGGACTCGAACATAAATTATAAGCGAACGTATAGTTGGGAAGACGACCGACCTGCTTCTAGTTGTGATTATTCTCCTCCGAGTGCTAGACATTACAATAATGTGTATAATATAAATGACTTATTTTCTACTAGATCGCCAGTAAAGGCCGGACATCTGCCAGATATTGGTTCAGATGAAACACGCACCAGGACCAACTTAAAACCGTTTCCTCCTCGGCATAAACACTACAATGCTTGGCAAGTGGCTAATGGCAATTTGGATGCTAAATCTTTGCATACGCCACGTATAGCGCCTATGTGGGAAAATGTGCAGTCTATTTCATCAGGGAAGTCTGAGAAGTCGAAGTCTTTAACTTCAGTATTATGAACAAAAGTGCTAATAAATGACATTCAGTATTCCGAACTCTGAAGGAGTGGTGTGTGGTGGACTGGTGGTAGCATGGTATGGAGAAGTGGGCAATTAATTACTACCCAACCTACCCCCACCCTCTCCTCTTTTATACACCATATGTTCTACAGGGATACACGGAGATGATATCTGTGAGAAAATGGAAATCTCGAGACAGCTGTTTTTAATGTTTTTAAAAAGTATTTAAATAAAAATAAAGAAATTTAAAGAAACGCATGCTAAAACAACTATCGTTCATTAAATACTGTCATAAACGTGTGTTTAAATGGTGCGAATTATCTAATTTTATTCAACGATCTGATTAAAACTAGATGTTATTTCGTTCTGTGTTATAAGTTGGTCACTCCATTAACATCTATAGACATGTATAGCAAAAGTACATTATGGGCCTTTAACGACATCATAATAGGAATAATGCCTTTTACTTTGATTATCGACAGCCAATCAAATGCACCGATCATCTTCTGCATCGCGGGCTTTGATATGTCGATCTACATGTATCACAATATGCGCACTGGCCGCGCCCTATAAAGAAATTTACTTAAGACAAAATCAGAGTCATGGGGAACGAAATGTTTCGATGATTTAAATCAGACTCATTTAGATATTCGTAGATCTTGCAGAGTATATTGTTGACGTTGGCTGCAAGGAGTCAAATTTAGTCTCCACTTTGTCTGGCCCGTCAAAATATTAAAAATGTGACTGTACATGTACTGTTTTGAAACGTAAATTTTAGATTGTAAACATAAGCATTGGATATTAAAAAATTGTTTATATTTATATGTGCATCTTCGTGATATATTTTTATACTGTTATTATACAAAGCGGCGTATAGCCTTTACAAGATTCCCGAAAAATTGTGGGTCCGTAAAGAAAACATGTGAAGGGACACGTGGGAATAATAGGCCTCTGCATTGTGGCATATAAACAAAATGTAAAATTGCATGGGCCTACATTTAATTTTAGCTGCTATATGTGTTCTCATTTAATTACCAAGAAACAGTGAGTGGTCGTTGACAATAAACTTGTATGTTGTAGAGTCCGTGTGATTTCTTACTGAATGCACCCTGTTGTAAACCTAGTATAAACAATAAACAGTTTTTGGGCATAGGTTCAACGCGGCAAGAATATTCATTTACTTTAAATAATTCACTCACTCCTTACTCTAAGTTCGGATACTAGTGATTTGGCGACAGACAGTTTCTGGTCAGCTCTATTTATCTCGACGACCAGTGTCTGAAAGAGAAATATGCCAAAAATATCGTGGCGAAAATATTCATTCACTTTGATTCATTCACTCCGTTCATTTGACAACTTCCTCTCTGGTGGGATAAACTAACGATTTGTCGACAGGCGGTATCTGGTAAGCTCTGTTTATCTCAACGATCTTTCCTGAAAAATTGCCAGACTGCATTTCTGGCAGTATGTTTTTCAAACATTTCTGGAAGAGGCCCCCAATACCCCTAGTTGAAACTCGCGCCTTTGCCCACTTTTACCCTTGGACTTTGCTCCAGCTTTGCCCCTCCCTCCACCGACGGGTGGCGCCACCACTAACGGGACGAGAACAGCACCAAAATTGTAGACATGGATTGACCTAACTTGCTAATGTAGCCTAATGTGTTCCGAAACCCATCACGAAACAACTACATGTATAATCTCTCCAACAATCACGTGCCCTAACCTTATTTTACATCTCAACGACCATGACAAAAATTGGGCTGGCCATAACAAATAGATCTAGCCCTTACCAAAGGGTTAGGGTTGGGATTAGCGCTAACCCTGTTTACATCTCGTGACCTATGACGAAAAATTGAGCTGACCTTATCATTTAGCACTAACCCTTACAAAGGACGAATTATCTGTACCGGAAACAAGTAATTCGCGTTCGCAGCGCCACGCGAGGAGGTAACTCTCATACGTTACAAGGGCTCTGAGGTAAAATAACAACAAACATGTTCAACAATCAACAAATGAATATGTTCAATTTAACAGAAAGAATGTGAATTTTCTTTAGTTTCTTTTAACTTTTGCAAGACGTACAGGATAAGAAATATATTTTTCACGACTTCTCGTTTATCAGGTACCGGTAACTGCTTTTTCCACATATTTGTAACAATAATTCAATAGGCTAACATTGTTTTGTAATGTAATTATAATTTACTCAAATTACTGTCACTGTCAGTACTAATAATAAGCATTTTCAGCCAACATGAACGATTACATGTCATTTGGGACTCAAAAAAATATGACCATGACCACGACATTTGGGACTCGGGTATACGACGTTTGGGACTTTGGTATACGTCGTTTGGGACTCGGGTGTACGACGTTTGGGACTCGGGATAATTTATTAGAAATAGGCCAATTCAAAACACGAAAGAAAATATTTATTAACATGAAACACGTGGTTACTAAAAGGCTCAACCAAACGATAAAACATTTCTCATAAAAGTTATATATTTATTTAAAACGAATAATATGCTGATGAATTTATTTGAAAATGACCTACACAAAAAACAAAATATTTACACGACATGCAATCTTTTTTACAAGCCCCTAGAAATTGTTAACGATAATCCGTGAGCTGCACGTTGACATGCTTGTCGTAGATGGCAATACCAATCGATAAATTAGTGCGTACACGGCAAGGTTTTTTTGTGGAAAATATAAGAAATGGCAATGATCAAAGCGGGATAATTAAAGCTGATTAACTGATAATCCCGATGTTATTGCAGTATGTTCAAAGAAACCTAACGGTTCTTTGGTGGATGAGGATAAAAACGTGAGTTGTCAATCATCGAGAATGGCGACCGTGTGTTGATTGCAGTTATACCGTTTCACGAAAAAACATTAGCAGTGGTCGGTCAATCAAGCTCGTTTACTATTTGATAAAAGAAAAACAACGAAGTATTACTAAATATACCCAAATTTTCAACAATATATTATTGTCAAGTTTTATACTCGCAGATAAAACAAAACAAAGGAGAAGTTTTATACTCGCAGATAAAACAAAACAAAGGAGAACTAGCAGTGTTAATCGCGGTCTCAACAATCGCCGATCAACTAAATAAAACGAAAGACAGCTGTTACTATATATCTCATAAATAAATAGTCCCAAATGTCGTTTGTGTTGAGTCCCAAATGTCGTTTGTGTTGAGTCCCAATTGACGCCAATCAAGTCCCAAACGTCATCAACTGAGTCCCAAATGTCGTTTATGTTGAGTCCCAAATGACGTGAGTCCCAAATGACGTGATACCACATGAACTGGGCAGCCGAGTTAAGTCCACAATAATATCAGTGTTACCTATTTGACGTCTAAAACTTTTGAGATTGAGAGCCATGACATTTAGGAAAACAAACTAATCAATTTGAGGTACAAATCTTGTGCATATTCTAATTATGGCTTGGCAGCCACTTTTATAAATTTAGCGTAGCCGTACCGTTGGATTTGATCAAATTGTTTCACCTTTATTTCAATTTCTTTTAAAGTAGCTAAATCTTCAACATTGAAAACACGATTTATTTGTCAAATTAAATCAACATTCATATTGTGATCTTACCGGAAAAAGATGGGCTTTTGATATCCAATGTTTAAGACAGAATAAACATTTTACCATTGGTACACGAATCGTGTACCATAATGCGCTTCAGCCCCAGTTGTATCAAGAGACTCGAGGGACGAGGCTAGACACATTGCACCAAATCAAACGGCGTATGTAGACTGGAATAACCAGACGCTAGAAATTTGCACTCGCTTGAGACTGCTGGCTTATTTCGCCGAACATAACTGATTTGAAATTGGAGTAAAAACGGAAACCATTAAATGTAAATCAGTTTATATACATTCATATTACAGTATTATATGCGTTGTGACCCACTTTTGTCAATATCTAGGTCCCAAATGTTAGCGATATAGCTCCTTTAACTATTTCAACAACATAAGAAAAGGTAGAATCAATTTGAGGTGCGAAACGGCTAATGACGTGAGGTACGAATGAACCAAGTACGAAACAGCCAGGTTACAAAACAGCTGACATCCGTTATACACGCACTGTAGTGTTACAGCCACAGAGCAACATCACAACAATAAGCTCTTATCCTCTTCCTGCAGGATAATTTAACCAATCCTACCTGATCCGGTACTCTAAATACCACCAAATGTATCCTCATGATTGTAAAACAATTTTTTTTTTAAAACATGAGTTGATTCGCGGAATTGGCAAAATTGTTGTTAGTGTGTTTGTGGTTGACATCACGTATTGCTTTGTACTAGCAAGTGTATGTGAACTGTCATGACCGGTTAAGTCAGTGAAAAACACAACTTGATTAACTTAACCTATAATATTTGCAGTTGAGTTAATTATCGATACTACATGTATTAGTATAGAATTATCTTATTCATAAGATGTTACAGGCATTAATAAGCAGAAGGAGTTTGTTACATGTAGGTGGTTTCAATCATACCATTACCTAAAAACCAATGATTTTAGCGATGTTCTTTTCGCTAGAAATACTTCAAAGACAAAACTAAACAATTCTAAATTACCACTGCTTTTTTAATCACTTTTACGCTTTTGTTCCTTAAAATTCATTTCACTCACATCAAGAAATAAATGTTACATACATAATAGATTGTAATTAATTTCATATGGTTGGAAAAACAAGACTATAAGTAGGCCTACAATAATACAAGATTTTACTCTGTCCTGTGTCATGCAATGGTTTGAAATTGAAAAATCTTCAAAAAAAATCACCCAAAGTTACTTGTACATTGGTAGTTGTTTCCTTTTGGGATTGGAGTAATGTCGAAAATCTGCCCATTCCTAATGTATGGCTGCTATCTACAACATTGGTTTTTCAACACTTACATTATAACAGTATTGTACTCATTCAAATATCTAAATCATGTAAAGTGTGTAATATAACATTACGATCAAAATGAAACTCATAGCCAAAGTTATTGAGAAGATTTTACACCTGCCTTATCATAACAAACTAGCATAACCATCTTAGATAAAAATACACTTTAAAGGAGCTAAATCTCTAACTGAATATTTTCCATAATATTCAAAATTAAAAACTCAAATTATAATTCCATATTGGTCCATTTCAATCAGTATTGTTTTGACCACTGAGTTATCAGGAAAACTATTCAGTCAGCATAGAAAGTATCAGTATATAAGTTTGACTGACTATTCAGGAAATGTAGCTTGTTGACGGATGTTCTTAAAGTATCAGAATGAATACACTACACTATTTATTAATATTTTAGTATTTTCTGAAATTCTATCAGGATTATCACCATTATTATTGTTAATTTTTTGACTCAATTCATGACATCAACTGGCAGACTATCTCCATCAAGAAACACCATTCAGGATAAACCGCTGTCAAGACCGGTCTCTTTATTGCGTCTTTCTTGTAAACCATTGTTTTGTTTTTCCCTTTGAGTGAAACCTGAACAGGGCAGTGGATGCTTACGGCTGGCCCCACGGATCCATTCACTTTTTTTGATATCTGTTGTTTATTGCTTGCCATGTCTGTGTAGTTTGCGTCAGGTCTGTGTAATTGGTCTTATCGGTTCTGTTTGCGTTTAGTCTAGTGTGGTCCTCCTGCACTTACTATTGCAATGGATCTTTAACACTTATATTCAGGGGCAAATAACAGCAACAATTAAACAACTGTTAATTTCCTTCAAATCAGACTTCCAACTAGTATACTGGTTCCCTAAACTGGTCTCTCCAACTAATAATTTATCTGACATACATTTGTCTTTTTATATCCAAATTACTTCCTTAGAAAGTGTTGATATAAATACATGTATATAATTATTGAAGAGTTAAGTTTTAAGACATTTAAAACAATAGTTTTACCAACTTAACAAATCAACCACTTTCACTTACAATGTACTGATGACCAGAATTAAATTAATTTATAGATTAATTACTATCTATCCCTAATAATAGCTAATTAAAAAAGTTAAGACTCCAACTCAATATTTTCCATAATATTCAAAATTAAAAACATGATTTTCAATCAATATTGATATCTTACCGGGAAACTATAGGATCCAGATATACAATATTTAAGACCCAATTAGCATTTTATAATCAGTACATGAGTCGTGTAACCAATGGTTTCAGAGGCGAATTTTGTAATAAACAAATAAAAACATATCCCAACAACAAAATGTGAAAGTAATTAGTAAAGGATGACAAAATACGCCTTTTAAGCAGTATAAGAATCTTTAAATATTATGGACAGAATATATTTTACTTACATGTACATGTACTTCAGAGATAAGTATTAAAATATAAATTTGAAAAAAAAAACAGAATTAAAAAATAATGAAATAAGATAAGATGTTTATTGCATCTTAATGTCCATTACACAGAAAACACATAAATTACACAGAGAAAACACATAAATTACACAGAAAACACATAAAGTACACAGAAAAGACATACATGTACATATACAAGTAATACATTGATAGGATTTATGTTGATACAAACAATAATACATTTCAAGAAATTCAACTAATTCACACCATATTATATCCTAGACATTGGTATACATGTAAGTACCATTATATTGGTATAATTACCATTATATTCTACAAATAAAAATGGGTAGTATTGGTATAATAAGTACCATTATATTATACAAATAAAAATGGGTAGTATTTGGTCATAACAATATTTCCAAAACGCTACTACATTTAAACCAGTAACAATATACCAGAACATCGATGTATTACGCTAAAATAATATTCATAATTCAACATATTGCGATATTTTATTCAATGCTATTTTTTCTTCTCCAAATATTTCATCCTTAATTCTCAAAATTTCCTCTATTTATCAGAAGAACGCCAAGAGCTGCAGATGAGGCAAATTACAGTCATTGTTTTATTGATTGTTGTTGGTTAATAGATCCTTTAGAATAATCATACCAATAACCTCTTCACTTTATTAACAGTATAAAAACAAATAAAATCTAGTTGTTGCTTCACGTATATTTGATTCATTTCTGAATATTTTTAGACTAAATAGGGGGGTTGGATGGCCGAATTGTTAGCATGTGTGCGCTGTATCATAAGGCCTGTCATTAAGTCAACTGGTGTGGTTTCGAATCCCCGGTTGTACGTGACAAGAAGTAGGGTCGCCTGTCCAAACTTGTGGGTTTTCTGTGGTTTCCTCCCACTGCTAGTGCTAAAGACCCCTCAGCGCAAGGGAATTATTGAAATAAAATTAAACCATGTTAGTACCGAAATGACCTAGTTTGTGTCGAGTGGACGTTAAACCCCATTTCTCTCTCTCTTTTAGACTAAATAATGCACATTACTTGGATAGGATACCTAATACATGTATTACACATTTTTCATATATATATCACCAACCTAAGGCAATCACTTTATAGACTTTAAATCAAAATATTAACATATTAAATCAATGACAGAGAGAGAGAGAGAGAAATGGGGTTTAACGTCCACTCGACACAAACTAGGTCATTTCGGGACTAACATATGGTTTAATTTTATTTACATAATTCGCTTGCGCGTAGGGGTCTTTAGCAGTGGGAGGAAACCGGAGGACCCGGAGAAAACCCACGAGGTTGGAAATCAACGACAGAAAGGTTGATAAAACTTGAAGTAAGCCATATTGTCTGTATATGTGAATATACAATTAAGAATAAAATATTATACATTAGTATCACTATTTGGTGATATATTGATATGGCTAATGCCATATTGTCTGTATATGTGAATATACAATTAAGAATAAAATATTATGCATTAGTATCACTATTTGATGATATATTGATATGGCTAATGCTATATAGTGAGTAGAAATGTAGCAATAACCAGTCTTCTTATTAGTTGCTCTTTTTATCAGTCTAGCTGTGTAATATTATAAGAAGGTTTAAGATTAATGGTTGTTTAAATGATATATGTATGTGGTGGTTGTATAGCAACCTCCCCCCAGTGTTTTTTAATATCTGACCTTGTAAAATGTGTCTATGAACATGACATTATAATTAGTATGTAAGCCTACAATTGGCCACAGATGTTCTAAATTAATTATTCATGAAAAATTAGAAGATGAAATGAAATGGGGTTTAATGTCCTACTGTTCTGCTCCGACTGGGCTAATGAAGATGGGTGGGAATTTAGAGATTTGATTATTAGTACAGTACAAGGGATAACTAGGATAATATGTTTTACAAAGGGAGTAATTGAATCCTGCTATATCATCATATCACAGAGTAAAGATGTGTTCATGCTCATGGATAGTGACATTGCTATAAATAACTTGACATAGCTTCAACTGTAATATTCAATATCTCACAGCCAGTGTTAGTTCAAGGTTATTTAGAAGTCAGTCTGACCCTTGAACTTTCCAAAGATAGCAACCATGAGTTCATGTCTGTTTTTTACCTTTGACCTTTTGTGTGGGTTGTAATGTAGGTCAAGGACTTGTATTTTACTGGAAGTTATTAAGTGAAGCTCAAAGTATCTTAGTATGGGTCAGTCGTTTGTGTCATGTTTACAAGTAAGTTTTTGTTTTTAACATTATAAAACAAATCTGTGTTAGTTATTACTGTAGACTAATAGTACAATGAGAGGTGACTTAAGATGCTTGAAAATAGGGTCATTTTTACTATCCTACAGGAAGCCATAATGTCTAGCCAGTTCCTGTTCATATAAATGTAGCTACTGGCTGATCATTTGAATATGAATTAGACTTCTCCTTGTACACTGTTTAAAAGAATATCTGTGGTGATAAATTGTAATAAAATTATGTCAGAATGGATTGTGAACTCAAAGTATTTAGTAAAAATTTATGCGTTTAGATTAAAATGAGTCATAATATCTTGAGTAGAACCTATTTAATTGAGATGTCAATCTAGATCAAAGTGTTTTAAATTCTTAAATCTGTATATAATGTATTAGTTTCTTCTTTCCACGTTAGGGTGATTTGTGATAGGCCGACAGGTAGTCAAGCAGCCAGGACCATGGATCGACTCTTAAGTTAAAATAAAGGGGTTGGATGGCCTAATGGTTAGTGCATGCGCACTGTATCATAAGGCCTGTCATTGGGTCAACTGACGTGGTTTCGAATCCCCGGTTGTACGTGACAAGGAGTAGGGTCGCCTGTCCAACCTCGTGGTTTTTCTCTGGGTCGTCCGGTTTTCTCCCACTGCTTAAGACCCCTACGTGCAAGCGAATTATTGAAATAAAACATTAAACCATATGTTAGTCCCGAAATAACCGAGTTTGTGTCGAATGGACGTTAAACCCCATTTCTCTCTCTCTCTTGTCTCAAAATGACTGTAGTATTGGATTGATGAGATATTATACCCTATTACATTCACTATTATGTTTCTATAGACAGACAATGAACTCTGACCTATTTCTGGTCAATTTATCAGGCTGTGTCAATGTATGTAGCCTATACTATAGTTATAGTCCTAGGCAATTTTATATTATTTTATGTATAGGCCACACCCACATCTGACTCAGTGTATTTTAAACTATCTATATTTTCAATTTGTACACCAGTATTTGTGAGAGAGAGAGAGGGAGATATAGAGAGAGAGACTCCACTCTGGGACTAACACATGATTCAATTTTATTTCAAATAATTCAATTTCGTGTAGGGATATTTAGCAGTGGGAAGAAACCAGAGAACCTGGAGAAAAGCCCAAAGGATCGAGGTCCGTTGTTCGATCCCTGTCTTGGGTTAGAAAGTTCCCCAGGATTTTCTGGCGTGGTTTCCCTTAGTCATTTGTGCAGGGCCTGGCAAGGAAAAGTGTCTAGTCATTAGGATGGTACAAAAAACAAGGTTGCATGTCAATATTGGCGTGCACATATAAAAGAACCCATGACAGTTGGAATTCAGTTGATGTCTGGGCAAAATTTCCCTCATTACACACTGTATGGTGTATGCCCGTCTTCAGGAACCCAGTTGGTCCAGAAAAGTAGGACTAAACTCCCATTTCATTCATTTATTAATGAATCCATGAATGATATGGGGTTAAAAGTCAATTTCAACTGTCAAGGGTTCGTTTACACAAAGGTGTATACAGGATCTCATTAACAATATGTGGTACTATTTTGGGGTCATTCATTATTATTGGTCCCCTTTATTTACACTCCATTGGCAGCAATAACACAAGTTGTTTTTTTTTTGTGGTGGAAGGGGAGGTTGTTATGTATGGATAAAGTTAATTGGTGGTTATTAATAGTTAATAATGGAGAGCATGTTTGAATGGATATACATTTACCTGTATGTCTAGTGAATATTTCTTTCATTGACATAGGGGTCATGGTGGCTAAGTGGGTAAGGCGCTGCTAAGTGGGTGAGACCCTGGCTATCTAGCCTGGAGGTCGGGTGTCCGATCCCTGCATTGGCCGAGAAAGTCCATCCAGATTTTCCGGCGTGGTTCCCCCTTGTCACTGATGCAGGACGGAGGGCCTGACAAGGACAGCCGTCTAGTTGTTCGGATGGCACAAAAAACTGAGGTTCCATGTACATATTGGCCTGCACGTAAAATTTCCCTCAAGTCAAAGCAGACTGTATGGCGTATGCCCGTCTTCATTAGCCCAGTTCGGAGCAAAAAAGTAGGACGTTAAACCCCATTTCATTTCATTGACATAGAAAATGATTAATTGTATGATGACAACCAGCATCGGCAACATTGACATTTCCATGGTTATAGAAAATAATTTGGGATACCATTTGGCCACTTACTGGACAAAAAGCTAGTAAATTACCATGAAATGATCTAGCCCTATAATTTGTGACAGATTTTCTTGTATTCTGCACTCAATGGTATATATGGGACAGCAATAGGTTAAATCCACCTTTGTTAATTTACGTTTTAAAATCTTGTAAATTTATTTTTATTTTTTAGGAATCTGGCCATGAAGTAATACCATTTTGACACTACCTGATTCTATAGATATCCTGAATTAACCATGGATAACTGCCTTGCGTCATTTGCGACCATTAACCCCCCAGAATGCCTGGCAAGAGAACGACAAATGAAAGATCTTTCTCAAGGAGAAAATCTGGACCACAGTGCCTTTCTACCTGTCAGGTCAAATGATCAACAATTTGAAGATAATGTTTCAAACAATCTGATTGGTGCCTTATCGATGACAGGAACCATTCACCATCCAGATAACTTAGTCAGTATGGAAATCCCATTCTTTTGGTGTAATTATTGTGATTTTAATACTGTTCAAAAAAATGAATTATTGAAACATTTGCAGTTACATTGCTTTCGCTGCAAGTATTGTAGTTACGAAGTATTAACAAGAGGGGAAGTTATCAAACATATACTAAAGTGCCACAGAGAAGAAATAACAAATGAACTTTTGTTTTGTTATTTTGTCAAACATCAGGAAAATCCAAATCCGAATCCACCTGAAGAAACCCTGACAAGTTCACATGGTGTGAAAAGGATTGCTGAAAAAATGGCTGATAGTACCTGTATTCCTAATGACATTATTAAGAAAATCAAAATAGAAAAGGATGATATTAATTTACAAATATCGGCAAATGACACATTTCTCAAAAATCCAACAAACAATCAGTTACAAATTTGTAAGGAATCAGTAAAGAACATCAGTCAAGCGACTTTTACATCTACTAAGCAAGCACATGAATATTCAAACCCAGCATTGCCATCAAACACAATTATTTGTGATTTGAACAACTCCAACTCAAATGAGATGTCATCAAACAATCCTGATCATTCATCCCCGTCAGTTTTAAGAAGTATTCTTACGAAAAATGTTTTAAAAAATGTTGCTGCCCAGAGAATGAATAATACTACAGGGGATGTAACTCCCAACAACAATTTGTCTCCAACTAATAATAAGACAAGTTTTACTCCAGAAATTATCCACCCTCATGTTAACGTTTCTGTGAAAAGTGAAATTCTGGAAAATCCTCATCCAGTTATTAAAATAGAAATAGACGATGATTCCTACTCTAATTCACTGGGTTACGTTCCGAAGACCGTATCACTAGGAGAAAATATAAATCAGTTTAACCAGGAATACCCCAGTTATGACGTTTCATGTAATAATTCAACAATGGCCTCCGGTAACGATCATTCACCTTCTCATTATCTTAGTATACTAAAAGATATTTCATCCACAGAGTCTGACCATAATTCACATCAATCTAACATATCTAAAGAAACAACAATGGCTCCCAATGCATCATGCTCTAATAACACAAATAGTCGTGAAAGTTCTCCGCCTGCCAATGTATTACATCTGCCTATTTTACGAACCATGCTCACATCTTCAGATCTAAAATTGCCTAGACATCCTAGAAAAAACAAAAATTCTGTTGCAGAAATTGAAAATGGCGATGATTCCAGTATGGATAGTGTTTCTGATGACGACACAGAGGACGCCGATTATTGTCCGAATAGTTCCGAGGAGGACGAAGTATCGGGAAAGATGAGCCATCATCTTCGAAGAAAGAGCAAGGAAATTGTTGCAGCATTTGCGTGTTTGAATTGTGAAAATGGTCGAGGGATGTTTAAAAAAGCAAAAGAACATCTACTGGCAAAACATACACATACAAATCTTATTCTTAAAGACGTTGCAAAAAATACATTTGTGTATATTTGTCCAACTAGAGATTGTAATTTCAAGGATTCCAAATTTACTGCTTTCATTGCACATTTGGAATCGTGTGGAGTTTTTGACTTGAAAACAATCCAAGATGGTGCGATGGGTAGGAAAATACAATTGTTGGTGTTGAAAACTTTTCAGAGTCTTTTAAAAACGGCCATAATTGATTGGCTTTATGCTTGTTCGGTATGTGCCAAAACATTCCAGAACTTAAATGACGCACAGTGTCACAAAGTTCAAACACACCCAAATTGTTTTGATAAAAAAAGTTTGTTTAAATCGTACGACGTAACTGGAAAAATAGTCATATTATGTATGCACTGTTTGTCTGAAATAGAAGTGACAGAATGGCCGAACTTGTCTCTTCAAGACTGTAGTCAACATCAGAACTATTGTTCCCAGAAAAACTCTTCTCAGTCTGTCGCTGCTTCCCATAGTCACTCGCCTAAAATTTATCATAATCAAAATACCTCAAACCCCGATCATACCCCCCAACTTCGGGCAATTTTACAAAAGAGTCCCCAGTTACCAGGTAATAATAATAGACAGGGAGGTGCTACAGACGAGGATTTACCAGCGTCCAGGATGTTACAGTGGTTAATATCAGAGGGTAGTAGAATGATGCATTTCCTAAAAGAATAAATAGGTGATTTCATACAGGTCCTCTCTTATATCTAATATATCAGTGGTAATCGGGTCTAGAAAAATACAAATCAATGCTGGTCAAAATGATGAGGTACATGTACCAGAGGGATTGTAACTGACCGAGTCACAATTTGTGCCCGACAATATCTGTGACAAGTGTCTAATTTTCAGGCTTAGTGTTAATGTAAAATAAAATCTAAGGTTCCACTGTGAATTGTAATATTTTGATAAAATCTAAAGCTCAAAATACTTCAAATGTACTTATATAGATATTAATAGGTAAATGGTTCAAGTTGGGGAGTGGGATTGCCCAATAAAGAAATATTAATAATTGGGTGATAATTTGTGATATTATTTACTTCTATCAAATGTTATAATTTACAAGTATTGTACAATGTAAATATTTATCTCAACACAAAGTTTATAAGATATATAAAATAGTTTTTATTATCTTAGATGCCTTCTGTAGTATTTCACTAGTTGAAAGAAATTGATTCTTGTTTATCTGTTGACAGCAGTATTAAATGGTACAGTGGGCAGCCTAGTGGTGTAACACATGAACTTCAGATCATAAGCTTTGTCATGGATGCAAGGGTTGTGGTTCTAATTCCTATATGTACGAAACAAGGAATAGAATTAGCTGCTTAATGTCGTGGGCTTTCTCTGGGTTCTTCATTTTTCCCCTGGACGCAAACAAATTATTGAAATGGCGTAGTTTGTGGTGAATCATCTTCAATAGAAGGCCAACCTCGTGGGTTTTCTCCGGATCCTCCAGTTTCCTCCCATTACTAAAGACACCTACGCACAAGCAAATTATTGAAATAAAATTAAACCATATGTTAGTCCCGAAATGACCTAGTTTGTGTTGGAGTGAACATTAAACCCCATTTCTCTCTCAATAGAAGGCTTGATCTTGCTTTAACTCCATATATGTTATCAAGATGTAAAACTCGCAGTGGGCCATTGCTTCAGGAAAATGGTCTTGAATAGACATAAAACCAAATCTCTCTCCCTTGCACAGATTTAAAGTTTTTACATGGTGAAGGCCAGTGACAAGTGGTATCAGGTGTTTGATACATGAACTTGCCGTCTGTAGACATGACTACCGGTATTGCATTTGCTAGTTGATGTTTACCAGTTGATGACTTGTGAGCACTTTGAAAAATGGACATTGTAGAGACTCAAGTTACCATCCGATTTATTCACAGGTGCTGTTTTCATCAGACGAGAAGTCTTGATTTTCAACAATATCATATCCAATAATTACTTCCTGAGTTTCATTGCCCAGCATCCTATGTTTTGAACTATAAAGCCTAGCTTTTACATGCTTTACAATGAATTATGAATGTGAATCTACTGGCATAACAAGACGATTAGTTATATAGCATGCAATTAAAATTGGGCGCTTCAAAAAATGTTTTCTAAATTTGTGGGTGTTTGACCCGATAGGCCTCCCCACCCCACCCTATTAAATTGGGTCCTGTCAATTGGACTTTTGGGTTGACATGTCAGCCACAAACCAATTCTGACAGATCAACATTAGGCCTGATGAATTCTCAGACATTCAAATTAGTCATTTTTAGTTACCTCCCTTGCATAGCCATGGAGAGAAAGTCAACACGAGCTTGGGTTAATTCACATTTCATGTTCTGATCTGAAGATAACAAGACCCTCAAATCAGTCTGTTTCAGTTACTGTGCTTCCCTTTGCGTACCAATGAAAGACAAATGAGAGAAAATGGATATATTGTCCGATCCTGACAAAGTAACAACAACAGGGATTGCAAATTTCACCACTCACACTGGGATTTGAAACTGATATATTCAAGAGTCTAAGGCAGTGGTTCTCAACTTTTTTTTGCCAACGGCACACTTTGGGACACATAAAAAAAATAGCGGCACACCTGGCTAAATATATATGAAAAAAAATTGAATTTTGCAAAATAAAATGATGATAAGACGGCATACAACCGTAGATACAGACTAGTCATAGACACATAGAATGACTCAAACTAAATATAAAAAACACAGCCATGACCTCTAGGGAATGCTCAATTAGGATAACATGGTTTTTCGCATTTTCTTAGTGTGCCGTGCAAACTTTCGCGGCACACTTGGGAAGAACACGCAGCACACTGGTCTATGGTTAGCACAAGATGCCTGCCAATGTCCCGGAGAAAAATCAGACGGACAGTACATTGATAAAAACATCCTAATTATATTTTCTTTAATAGCCATTTTATTGTTTTAGTCACCTAGCCAATAAGGCACACATTAAAAACATGTATATAAAAATATTGAATACAAATGGATTTATAACAAATTATAGCCATGCAATTGTGGTACCTACCATTAAATTAATATTACAAATAAAACATAATTAAACAACTTAGCTTATAATTTATATTCCACACATTGGCAATAAGACAAGCACAAGTTAATCCTAACCAGTAGGCCACTTACAAAGTTGGCAAAATTGAGCAAAGGTAAGTAGCCTCGCCACACAAGATAACTGCTACCAGGGCAAAAACTATTAATATACTTCTTTTAATACAAATGCTGCATTAAAATTAAATATACAGAAAATAAATGTCTTATCAATATTGTACAAAAATCCTTTTATTTTACCACTGTTTACATAAATTTTAATAAATAATTAAAAGTGGTTTCCAAACAATAAATTATTTTTAAAATTCAAATAGTGTATTTGAAAGTATAGCAAATATATAGATTCGTCAAATTTCGTATTGATGAAAATCAGTATTGCAATATATATATATATATATCAATTTTCTTTCTTACAGCTCTTATCACAGGTGTTTCTAATTAGGATATAAATGAACACAAAAAGATGATTCTCATCACAGATAAGGTAAACAAATAATCAATCCAAAAATTTGATCAACAGACAAATTATATAACAAATTGGTAAGTCAAATTAGAACACAGATCCTGTTTCGTTTTTTAAGTACAACTTTGTTTTTATCCCTTTTTTTTTGTCTACATTACATTACACTAAAGCAGATAAGCCAATAAAATAGTCTTTTTAATCAAGGTTTTTGGCAGAGCTGTGCACAATGTCAACTATTGAGGGGTTAGAAATATCTACATCATTCATTCAAAATTCACCTATATGACCCCTGATGTTACCTTCCACTATAAACCAGTTAGGTTATCGAAAGTATAAAAGAAATGAAATGAAATTTAGATCTGTATCATAATCATAAAAGACGCTTGTTTGTGTCATAAAATACAGAAATAACTGTAACCACTATAATAAAAAAATTCTGTGTCATGATGTCCATGTATATCTGTAGACACCATGAAATAGTTTGTGACATGAAATACAGGAATAGCTGTAAACATTATAAAATAGTTTGTCATGAAATACAGGAATAGCTCTAAATATTATAAAATAGTTTGTGACATAGCTGTAAATATTATGAAATAGTTTGTGACATGAAATACAGAAATAGCTATAAACACTAAGAAATACTTTGTAAAATGAAATGTAGGAATAGCCCTAAGCACTAAGAAATAGTTTGTCATGAAATACAGAAACCATCAGTAACTAGTGCCTAAAATCAACAGAAAAATGTCTAATATAGTACTTCTATATACAGCAGGTAGTTTATATTTGTGTATTGAAACAAGCTTGCATGTGGTTAAGAATCATGACTATATAATTTCATATGCAATATAATACATTCATTTTAAATGAGCAAAATTCTGGATCTTTTTCGTTACCCACACCATTGAGAAATATAGGTATGTAAATATATTATCTCAAATATGGTAGATCCCTGCTCTACCCCATGTTATATATATTACCCTTTAAAATCTTTAAAACAGTTTGTTTAATAATTTATCCACGGAAAGGGTAGGCTGGATAACCTTTAACGCCTAAACCAGATACTTTAAATATAGATCCTGCTAGAGGGTCTTTGGTTCGAAATTCTTCTTCGGTATAGCCTGCTTTCGCACTGGTGACATAAAGTTCGTCCAAATTCTTTCCTCCAAAGCAACATGATGTGGTTTTTACGGCATCAATTTTGACAACCTGTAATATTTTTGCTGAAAACAAAATACATAGAGGTTACAATTTTATTTTGGTGTAGCAATGTTCTCAAATAACTGAATGGTATACAGAATTTGCTTGGCAGGAAGAGAAAATGGGGTTTTACAGCCAAATAACACTAAGTAGATCATTTGTGGACTAACATGATAAATTTTAGTTATTTAATATTTCTTTTCCACACAGGGGTCTTTAGTCGAAGTTAGACTGGTGCATTTCCAAATACAAGCCTTCAGAACAATTAGTTCAGTGTTTATTTCCTCTGGTTGTACTAGGACCTTGACTTTACCACTAACAAATTGCAAGAAAATGTTTTTATGCATTCTTGCGTTCATTTTTGTAGGCCTACTTTATAACATCCCAAAAGTTTACCAAATCCCAATCTGATTCAAATACAGATCTATATTTCATTTTGTTTTTTTATACTTTCGATGGCCTACACTACATGAAGATCAGACTGGATTTAGTGGAGACAGCCATACACCATGCAATGTGCTATGAGGGAAATTTAGCCCATACAACGGTACTACGGCCTACTCCTATGTCGAATTCCAACTGTCAAGGGTTCTTTTACGTACGTGTGTTCCAATGTGTACCCAGGAACTCAGTTTTTAGACCCATCGAAACAACTATACATTGTCCCTCGCACTGACAAGGGGGGACCACGCTGGAAAATTTTGATGAACTTTCTCTGTCAACACAGAGTCAGAACACGCACCTCCATATCTTGAACAGAGTTAGGGCTGGTTAAAATACTTACCAGTCTCTGGATCAAAGCGCACAACTCTACCAGCACTGTAACATGCTACCCATATTTTATCTTGTGTATCAATTGTCATACCGTCAGGTAAACCCATTATCTCCCCTGGTTCATAATCAGGAAAATTGATTAATGTTCTCCTATTTGCTTAAAAGATAGAAAAAATGGTTTTAATCAAAGATATTTTTAAATGATCTAAGTAATTAGGTCAATAATATCATTGATCCTCAATATCTTTTTTTATATGAAAAAGTTATTGTAATGAATATGGGCACCACATGGATAACAACATACCATTTTGCTTGTGCTCTTATATTGCAAATCAATATATTCAGATTCCATCCAACATAATAAATATTCTCTCAAACACAGTATCAACTACAATCCTAGAAAAAAGGCACCTGTCATAGACATTTGCAGGCACAAATTCAAGCTTTGTCAGGCAAATAAGTCTGATGCATGTCATTGTCTTGAACAGATTCATATTGTTTGTGTATTTTATTATTAATATATAATAGGTTTTCACGTGAATAAATTCTTAGAGTCAAAAAAGGCTTTCCTGAAATTGGAAAAAGGATTAATCGCCCTCCTGAGAATGATCTCCTGAATCTATTGAGGAGAGCATTTTTTAGCATTTGTGATAAAAACGGGGATCTTAATCCAAGTTGATTGTCGATGTTGACAGTATTTTTCGTTACTGGTATATTTTTCCTAATTAATTTCTTTGACGGGAGTCAATTTAGACACATTCTCGAGAGTGAAGGCCTGATATATCTCACACAAAGTTCAAAATGTTAGGTACCAGTTCAGCAGTCCAGACAAGACATGTATTAAAATTATCAATTAAAAAGACAAATTAGTACCATTCAAAATGACAGATAACAGAGGGGTTTGTGCCGGACAAAGTCTGAATCTGTCACAGCTGTCTTGTTACCAGACACACAGAATTAAACCATTTTGGTGTATAAACAATATAAATTTATACTTACACATTTTTCCGGATGCCAGGTCAAAGTCATAAACATAAACTTTTCTTGGAGTAGAATCTATGTAATACATTGTTTTATTATCTTGAGTCCATGCTAAACCATTAGATATCGTGACTTTTGTTTCATGGGTCTGGATGGTTCCATCAACGCCATAACTATATAATGAACCACATTCATGCTCTAATACACATGGAGCTGATTCTAAACTCATGGTACCTTTAAACACAGAAAAACAAGACAAAGTTGTGACAGTCACAATCACATTAAACCTGACTATTGGTCCATTCTTCTAATCTGGACCTGTGACAACAGCATAATTATATCTTTGACATTTATAATACAGCCAATCGAATGTCTTAATACTCAAAGCCTTTAAACGTCCAATCAACTCAGGATTAACATAATGGTAAATTGAATATTTCAATAGTTCTCTTGCATGAAGGGATCTTAGCATTGGGGGTGGGGGAACAGGAAGATCAGGACAAACACACACACACAGAAGGTAGGGCAGTAAAATTTACTATTTGTCAAGCTATGGACCGAAACCAATTCACTTGACTGAATGACATACCTTATCATCTAAAGCCCACGCATTAGACCACTTAAACAGAACTGTAACAAAGAGGAATAATTCTGGTAGTGATTATTGAAATTTGTTGAAAATCAGTTGGCTTCTTCTTCAATAGGAGCGAGAGCCAATACAATTTCAGAAAGACATAAGAAATATTTTAGCCATTGTGTTGACAAGAAAGGATGGGCAGACAGAGGAATTTGGGGTGAAACGATACACCACATTAAAACTAACCTGCATATAATCTTCCTGAAGCATCGCATTTTCCATCATTAAATCTTGTCGCAATAGTACTATCAAATTCTTTTAAAACGGTCACTTTCTGGGTATTCCAGTCTAAACGTGCCAAGCTTTTACCAAGGGAGATAATATAGTCATTCTTCTCAGTCGGTACAACCAATGACACAAAATCATCTGTTTTTAAAATAGATCGAACAAAAGAAGTTATATTAAAGATGTTGATTTTGAATACCTTGCTATATTGTGAAAGTTAGATCTCTAATATCAGGAATATCAATCTACAGACAATATAAACAAGTCAGTGTCAGTTTCAGATTATGAGCAATATACAATTTTCTGACATACCTGTTCTATTTGAGGGGACATTGGCAATTGACTATCAGCAGAAATATAGGTTATGGTGATAGAGAAAGTTAGAACAAGATTAAATGTCCACTTGACACAAACTAGGTTATTTGGGGACTAACATAATAATATGGTAAATTTTATTTCAATAATTTGTTTGCACATAGGGATTTTTAGCAGTGGAAGAAACATGAGGTTGCACAAGCAACCCTACCCCTTGATACATACAAGCTTGAGATCTGAAAAACGCCACCCAACTCTATGACAGACCTTATGACCTAAAGCATACATGTTAGACTACCCAACCCCAATTCATTGTGTTAGATTCAGCTAGAAAAAGGCATGATTTTGTGTACAATGTGGATATATGACAATAATTTAATATCAGTACTGCCTTAATTGTTATAATAACCTTCATACTGATTACAACCTGTCAATCATTGTTCAAAGCTGTCAACACATGTCAAAAATGAGATCATATCTAAACAGATAGTTTGTTCGGAGGTCAAAATCCCAAATATATCAAATAAATGAACTTTTGTATAGAACAACTTAGATGGTGACTCTCTTGATTCACGCCTATCTAGCTTTAACTTCTTAAATATTGATGGCAATAGTTCAGGGGACTTATTGCTAGAATACTGATACTTGTTTCAGAAAGAAATAAAATGAAATGGGGTTTAACGTCCTACGTCCTATTTGTATATATACTCTTCAGTCTTCAAAAAAAGTAGAGGATATTAAAATGCAAATACCTATGCAGGTTATGATTTGATAAATAGTTATGGACACTTGACATGCTTTGAGAATATGTTCACAGATGAAGAACAGAACGACTGAGCTGCACATGCGACACGCAATAGCGCCATACATGTGGGAGGGGTTCATCGTCAAATTTGACACTTCATGGAAGGGTTGATGAAAACAACTGCGCACTGGTTTATCTATTCATGTTTGCTTTCCTATCGGTTCTTGCATAAGATTTACTGTTTAGCGTATCTTTGCTTTAGTGTGTACGTTTAATTTGATCAGGAGATGTGTTCGACAGCGTCAACGTCAATCGACAACCCTGCAAGAATTGGCTGTGGCACTGCAAGAGGTGTGGATTAGAATGCCCCAAATCGTGATTGGACGGCTGATTAGGAGCATGCCACGACGAATTGCTGAGGATTGGTGGAGCAATTACCCATTATTAAGACAAAAATCAAAAACGTCCATTTTACCTTTTGACGGTGTATCTCTTTAAGAGTGAAATGGGGCCGTCAGATAAGCCGCCCATATGAACAGTTTATGTTCATGTGTAGGCAATTGGTCTGTTATTAACATACACTGGTTACCTCTAATAAAAACAGCAGTGCATTGTATTGTTTCTGAATTTTTGAAGAGTATATTATTGTTTTGATATTTAGATCTATATACCTAAATGAATTTTAGAGTTCTCCTTAGTTTCTGGCTTCCATTTGTAGACATCATTAGACATAATATCTACATAAAGGAGACTTTGTGTTTTATCATCCCAATGAGGTCCTTCTCCCACAGTCTCAGCTACATTCTTCACTACCACTTCTACTTTAGCTGCCATATCTACTAAAATATAAATTAAACATCTAAAGTCCCATTAACACAATACAGCAGTCATTTTGAGACCAACACAGGATAACTTTCATATCTATGGTTTCATCTCTCTCAGGGGTTCATCTACATGTATGAAAATTTGTGCATGATTGGACTGTGGTTTTGTTTTTGTCCCATCCGAGTGACTACGCACACTTTTTCCAGATTTCTAGGTCAGAATTTTATATCTCAGCAGTTAATAAGCCTCATTCCCAAAATAAACAGATGTCACTCATAAATTACTTGCAATTGTAAAGCATCCTGCAATATGCTTAAAACCCAAGCTGAAAATGCTCAATTATCGAACTTAGTCAAGTTACTGATAATAATGAAACTTATAGACCAAGTGTCACTCTAATAGTAAGAGACAGACAGAAAGACAAATCCAGTTTAGAGAGAGAGAAATGGGGTTTAACGTCCACTCGACACAAACTAGGTCATTTCGGGACTAACATATAGTTTAATTTTATTTCATTAATTCGCTTGCGCATAGGGATCTTTAGCAGTGGGAGGAAACCGGAGGACCCATAGAAAACCCACGAGGTTGGACAGGCAACCCTACTCCTTGTCACGTACAACCGAGGATTCAAAACCATGCCAGTTAACTCAATGACAAGCCTCATTATACAGCGCGCACGTGCTAACCATTCGGCCATCCAACCCCCTCAAATCCAGTTTAGTAGTCCGCTCCTTTCATATATTGTAATGTAATGCCATTATGTAATTAGGCATAAATGGGTACAGACAAAATTGTCATGAAAGCAGGACTGGCTTGTTCAAAAACGGTATAAAGATTGTTATTAGATTGTAAACTTCAAATGGCCATAACTTAAGTTAGGATGCATTTAATTGAATAATGTTTTTTTAATGAAGGTAAATTGGTTATGTATGGTCAAATAGATGGGAATCTTGCAAATATGTTAAAGGACAATAAGCTTACCGAAGTTGAGTACTAACAAAACAATCCACAATATTCCAGTTTTTACCGATTGATATTTTTTTTCGTGTCAAATTTAAAGATACATAATGTCAGATTTAAAGAGCTGGCCATTCAAAAACAGATAATGAAAAATGGATATATTGAAAACTTCAGTCAAATTACTTTATTCTGAGCAAAGTTATGAATGTTTGATGTTTTGACAACAAATAAAGTCTCGATTCTAAAGTATCACAACTACAATTTTCCATTTTAATGTTTAACGAAGATATGATGGCAGACATTTTATAATCCGCTTAATATCTCAGCCATCCGATGTTCTTGAGAGTTGATTATGATCTTGTGAATAAATGTCTACATAATAACTTATATAAAATTTGAAGCCAGGAAAAAGACCAGCATATGGCAGATTTAGCTTGTACATTATGCATCTTTAATGAAATTGGCAAAATCCCATATTTTGGCTTTACATAATTTTTTTATATTACCATACTATAAAAATGTTATTAAAATCCCCAATGTCAGTGATGTTTTTCTAATGCATGAAATACCATCACGAAATATATTTTATGAAACAAAAACACAAAAGAAAAGATGTGACATTTATTCAGTAAAATGTTTCAAACTTTGACAATGTTATGTAAAGTCAATAGAGAAGATATAGATTGCACAATAAAGACATAAAGGAAGAAAATGTTTTTTGTTAACAAATTTGTCATGTAGATGACATATTTTGTCTACTAAAGTAACATGCTGAATCCTCTTATCATCTAACATAATGTTATACATTCATGAAGATTATACAAATGCTAATACAATGTAAATTTCTAAAGGTGCAGTAAAACAATCCTGGATTTAATGTACAACAACATGTGGATTGTTTAAGTTTTTATAAGAAACATTTATGTCATTCACTTGATCAGTGGGGATTATTTATAGAAAAATTTGACATTGGGATGACTACTATATTCATATGTGATATTACTTCAGTAGAAGCAGACTTTAAATAAACTCAATGACACACACTCTTATGGGAGCCCTATAAATTTCTGCCAGAATTTATTCATAAAAATTACTATAATTCATTCTTTAGCCCACAAAATCTTTAAATTAAAGTATTTTACACCCAAAAACCTTTACCCCAAAATTATATCTTTGTATCAAACCAAACCAGTGTGCACCTATTTACCCCAAATAATACATCTAACATGACATGTGAAAGCAGATATTTTACTGTTGTACTCTGATCTGATTCAAGATTGTCCAGACAACTCAATCTTAATTCTGTCATCAGAAATGATGAATAGATATAATTAATTCTTCTGTGACCTATTGATTTATATATGATATCTATAATATAGATGGGGGGGGGGTTGGTGGATGGCTGAATGGTAAGCGTGTGCGCGCTCTATCATAAAGTCTGTCATTGAGTCAACTGGCGTGGTTTCGATTCCCCGGTTGTACGTGACAAGGAGTAGGGTCGCCTGTCCAACCTTGTGGGTTTTCTCTGGGTTCTCCGGTTTCCTCCCACTGCTAAAGACCGCTACGCGCAAGTGAATTATGGAAAAATTGAACCATATGTTAGTCCTGAAATGACCTAGTTTGTGTCAAGTGGATGTTAAACCCCATTTCTCTCTCTCTGTAAGGTCTTGGATGTTATACAAAAGATAATTACTCAACGGCAACAAGACAGAGACCATACTTGAAATAAAATTAAACCAAATGTTAGTCCCGAAATGACCTAGTTTGTGTCGAGTAGATGTTAACCCCATTTCTCTCTCTCTCTCTCTATAATGAAATGAAATGAAATGGGGTTTAATGTCCTACTGTTCTGCTCCTAAACTGGGCTAATGAAGACGGGCATACGCCATACAGAGTGCTATGAGGGGAATTTTGCCCGGGCAGCGGTGCTACGGCCTACTCTTATATCGAATTCCAACTATCAAGGGATCTTTTACATGCACACCAATGTGTACACGGGACCTCGGTTTTTCGTCCCATCACTGACAAGGGGAAACCCTCTCTCTATAATATAGATGGTAAAAAAAAAAAGAACAAGAGATATGATCAATGTAGAATTATAACACAGTTATCAGGATATGTCCTTGATATCTTACAAAAACATTGAGCCAGTTGATCGTTATCAGATAGCATGTGTTGATTTCATGTTAACATCACTGGTTAAATAATTTGACCATGAGATGATCAATGAGGTCATTAATTTTTAGATAAGATTGTTTTATACTTTTAGTTCAGATATGAAAAGTGCAATCTAATCATAAACAGGATGATAATGTCAGCAATGTACTTTATGAGAACAGCTGTACTAAAAACTGAAAAAGCTCCTTTTTTAGTTTAGAGAGAGAGAAAGCGAGAGAGAGAGAGAGAAAAATGGTGTTTAACCTCAACTCACACAAAATAAGCCATTTCGGGCCTAACATAAGGATAAGGGTCAATTTTATTTCAATAATTCGCTTGCGCATAGGGGTCTTTAGCAGTGGGAGAAAACAGGAAGACCTGGAGAAAACCCAGGGGGTTGGACAGACAACCCTACCCCTTGTCATGTTCAAGCGGAGAATTGAAACCACGCCATTTGACTCAAAGACAAGAGAGAGAGAGAAATGGGGTTTAACGTCCACTTGACACAAACTAGGTCATTTCGGGACTAACATGTGGTTTAATTTTATTTCAATAATTCGCTTGCGCGTAGGGGTCTTTAGCACTGGGAGGAAACCGGAGGACCCAGAGAAAACCCACGAGGTTGGACAGGCGATCCTACTCCTTGTCATGTACAACCGGGATTCGAAACCACGCCAGTCGACTCAATGACAGACTTTATGATACAGCACGCGAACTCTAACCATTCAGCCATCCAACCCCCCGACTCAAAGACAAACCTTGTGATTTCATGTGCACACATTAACCTACTAGTACTACACCACCCAACCCTCCTTTTTACTTTAGTGGGGTCACAGTGGCTAAGTGGGTAAGATGCTGTCCTGCTAGTCTGGAGATCGGGTGTTCGATCCCTGCATTGGCAGAGAAAATTCATCCTGATTTTCGGGCGTGGTTCCCCCTTGTCAGTGATTCAGGATGGCGGGCCTGACAAGGACAGCTAGCTGTCTAGTCGTTCGGATGGGATGAAAAACTGAGGTCCTGTGAACACATTGGCATGCACCTAAAAGATCCCTTGACAGTTGGAATTCGATATAAGAGTAGACCGTAGTGCTGCTGTCCAGGCAAAATTTCCCTCATAGCACACTGTATGGCGTATGCCTGTCTTCATTAGCCCAGTTCGGAGCAGAACAGTAGGACATTAAACCCCATTTCATTTCATTTCATTTTCCCTTTTACTTTAAAGCTGCTGATCTTTTTGAAAAATGTCTAATCTTTAACAACTTAATCCAAGCTAAAATGTACTCAAATTCATTATTAAGAAAATAAAATCAAAATGTCAACTTCAGCTAATTTAGCAACTTGGATTCAATATGATTGAAAAGAAGCCTGTCAAAAGATTGTAGGTGGGGCTGGTTTGTCTTGACCATATCCTGTTATGTATTGTCTATATCTGATGCCGAAAGTTAACAATTTTTCAACGCATTATATCTTTCTAAATACTGATCATAACCTAACAATATTTGGACTGATATTTGATTTAGAAATTAAAATTTCACAAAATTCATTCAATGACAATCAGAGATTTCAATTTTGGTAAAATTTTACCCCTACAAAAATAGGGGACACAATATATTTTTCCACATAGGTCAAAAATGCCAAATACAAATTCAAGTAAAATATATCTAAACTACTAGGGAAAATAATAATATAATTACTGGTACCAAATAATCATTTCTTATGAGATACTTCAAGCAAATCTCATTTCATATACCGGTATGATAATTGTTGTTTTGAGTAAGGGAGGAAGCAATTGTTCAGTCAAAGAGGCAATAGTTCCATCTAAAATAATCAAGTTTTGAAATATTTACAAGGTTTCAGTGACAGATGTCATGTGATAACTCTGTGTATCATCAATCTGTGACTCCCTATCAGCAGCAAAACAATCCCAGCAATTTTGAGACTATAACCCTGTTTACATTACAAATTTTAAGCATACCAGGCACGGTACCAGGTACGGCACGTTTCGCTATTTTGTAGTGTAAACGGGTCAAATGTAAGCGTGCCAAGCCTGGTACGGTGCCAATCTGGCCCACTGAAGTAAGGTGGTCTCGGAACGGTACCAGGACCGGCTCGATTTAAATTTTCAAAGTGTAAACGCTACTCAAACTAAATCAACCATCATAACTGTTTTCATCCGGGTAATTTGTATAGGGACTGGAATTAACTTTTCTGTGAAGAGTTCCACATTTAGCATGCTTGGCATGGTTCTGAGACCGGTTATTTTAGAGTAATGTAAACGGGTCAATTTCTTGAAATTTATCATGGCCTGGTACCGTGCCCAGAACGGCACGCTTATCGCGGCCAAGTGTAAACGGGGCTTATGGTAACACTCCATTACTATAGATATGTTTGCAGTGCAAGGGGTTTTTTTTACATGCATGTCAATCATTCTAAACGACTAGCTATACCTTCTTTGTCAGTTCCAAAGGGGCTTGAAAATCCTGCTGGTTCTTCTCAGACCATGCCAGGATTTGAACCCCCAGGGCATTTTAATCAAAGATCAGTGCCCTACTGCCCGTTTCCAGCAAGAATAGAGGTCCTAATAATATTTCTGGAAATACTGTCATCAGCAAACACTCTAGACATGGTGATTTTTGGAAGATTCTACAAACTTCAATACATCTTATTTTATTTACCCTTGACATTCAATTTTTGAAATATATTACATTGACATTATAGATCAATTATCTGCTGTTAAATGAAAATATGACTTGAACATCCTGGCCATAATCATGACATTAATAAATAATATCAAATGATATTTTCATGATATGGGTTAATGAAGACGGGCATACACCATAGAGTGTGCTATGAGGGAAATTTTGCCCAGGTAGCGGCACTATGGCATACTCTTATATCGAATCCTAACTGCCAAGAGATCCTTTGCCTGCACACCAATGTATACACGGGACCTCAGTTTTTTGTCTCATCTGAACGACTAGACAGTTGTCCTTGCCAGGCCCTCCATCCTACACCACTGACAAGAGGGAAACCATGTCGGAAAAAAACAGTCATGGACTAAATAACACTTTCATTAGGGTTTCCACAAAATATGTATAACTGGGGATATAAATGATGGGAGTGGACATCTTGTTCTCTAAAGAAGACCTCCCCCCCCCCCATTTTCAGTCTCCAACCGGTATTTAAACCCGATTGCTGAAATTACAAATTTTTTATCATCACATAATGGCATTATTGGCATTGTTAGAAGAATAATTAAATATTAAATGATGTGATATCAATCTTATGTGCCATATTGATTGTTAAAATATTGGATGTGAAAGGGACAGTGTGCTATGAGGGAAATTTTGCCTGGACAGCGGCACTACGGCCTACTCTTATATAGAATTCCAATTGTCAAGGGATCTAATTGCACACCAATGTGTACACGGGACCTTGGTTTTCTGTCGCATCCGAGCGACTAGACAGCTGTCCTTGTCAGGCCCTCCATGCCGGAAAATCTGGATGAACTTTCTCTGCCAATGCAGGGATCGAACACCCGACCTCCGACAAGCGAGCCAATGTCTTATCCACTTAGCCACCGTGATCCTCTGAGTGGGTACTGACTACTGAAACATACTTTATTTAAATTGGGTGTTTTGATTTCAGATCAATATCTACTATACAATTAATTAAAATATTACCTAATTAGTTTGCTGGACTACTTCTCAAAATAGTTTGTTTGAAACTCTGCTCACAGTCTATAACAAATTTTACCTTCATAAACGCGTGTATTCTTTATGTGTGTCGTACTTGAATCTGTTCAACTTATTTAATTCTGTTATCTTGTAAGGTTTTTATCCTAACCTTTAACCTCCAACCAAATGACTCTGATTCTCAGTTAAATAATCTAGAACAAAATAATAAAATATAATCACTCAGTTTATCAATCTGTTTTACACAGGTATTGCGAAAGAGGCTTCTTATATCTATGTATTAGATGACTGACCTTTATAAGATCAGGGGCCTGTTTCACGAAATTTTAACTAAGATAAAATCCAAATTTTAGTAATTTGATTGGATAATATTCGATTGGTTTTAGTGCTTAGCCAATCAAAATTGAAGTATCTACTAAAATTTGGATTTTATCTTTAGTTAAAATTTTGTGAAACAGGGCCCTGATGCATTCTACATATGATATCACATCACGCATCGCTAATCATTGACTCAAGGTCGGTGCATCGTTTACAAAAAAAAAAATGGTCCAGGCATAATAATGGCTTTTACTCATTTTATATGTATCCATTTACACTAAATAGAAAATATTTTTTATCCAGATATATATCAAACACCTTTATTTATTTTTCTAATACTTTAAAAACCAGATCATAGAATTTAATTTAATTTGCAGAAGGAATAATGTTAATATTCCGAGCTAATTGACTCACACTGATGTCATCCCTGTCAGTGATTGTAGTGGCCTTCCAAATAAGCGGGCTTTTAACTCCCTCGAGGTGTATGTTTTGATCAGAAAATCAAATTGTACCTTCAAACGAAATGACATTTAAGTCCTATAATTCTGGACCAACTGGTGAACGGGGCTGATGAAGTAAATGAGTGTGCTAAGAGTGAAATTGTGACCAGACAGTGGAGTGATGAAATGCTGTTCCCTCCTTCCTGCACAACTGACATAGGGAAACCACAATGATCAAATCCACAACCATCTGGTTAGCGAGCCAGAATCTTCCCCATTGAGTTACTGTGCCTCCCTTTAAAGGCCCAACAAACCCAACAAAAATCAAGGTCAACAACTCTAATGCATGAATTTCAATAACTAAGCTGATAACTGTTAGACCAAAGGTGATCAAGGGCCATAACTCAAGAAGAATTATCTGAAATTGTTGATAAAGGTTTTATCTAAACTCTGCATATAAATTTCAAGTACTCTAGATCAGATTTAATCATTTTTGCCTCTGAGGCAATCATAATATTCTACAATCTGATCAAGGGCAATAAATGTTGAGAAATTTTGCCCGGGCAGCGGCACTATCGCCTACTCTTATATCAAATTCCAACTGCCAAGAGATCTTTTACGTGCATTCCAATGTATACACAGGACCTCGGTTTTTCATCTCATCCGAAGGACTAGACAGCTGTCCTATTGTATTCTAGAGATTCAACATTCACAGTAAGTTAAATAATATTGTCATATGAATGCCTATTTTATGCAAATGTTTGCTGTGTGCAGTCAAGGTACGTGCCTAATGCCTATGATCATTTGAGAATTTGTCATTTGAAAAGCAACATGCACATAAAAATTATCAGTTTTCATTAGCGTATAAGCTATGAGAATGTAGCTTAAAACATTGAGTTATACCGATGTGCTTGTTTTTAGCCACGATTGGATGCCTTTATATATAAGGCAGTTTTTCTCATATTTTTAGAGCAAAAGTACACCATGGTTTACTTATTTCGTCTAATTAGTAAAACAATATGTACCTGATCAGACATAATAATTGTGTAGCAATAATATTTTCAGTAAACTGATAGCCAAAGCACATCAGTCAGTCAGTAGGTAATTGGTAGTTGAAATATTGCAAGCCGGATGTGGACAGTTGACAAGGCATGAACTGGCCTGTCTCTGTTTTTGTACGCAACTTGAAAACAAGTATGGCGATTATTTTTTTCATTTAATTATTTCTGTAGTTTTGTAATCGGAGTTCAGCTTTAATTGGATGGTAACGCCCACATTCAAAACAGTTTACTAATGTGAGGAGATTAATTAATTTTATAATGTTGGGTGCCAATTGAATTATACAAATAAACTTGTTTACTAAAAAAGATCGTATTGTTTGTAGTTTTAGTCCAGAATCCAAATTGCGAGTTGCGATCCATTGCCATGGTGTAAATAATCAATTAAATTACGTGGACATGGCTGGCAATACAAATGAAAATGAATGAATGCCCGAAGGCGGGCAAAACGCTTGCTCTTATCTACGGTAAAAGGTCGCACCTGAAATAAAAACTAACTAGAAACACGCAAACACATTTGGTCTTCCTATTAGAAGTATTATTAGAACCTGTCGTTACTGGAAACAGAATATGTACTCAAATAATAAACAACAAATGGTCTAAGTCTTCAAAGAGGTCACACAATCTACAATTCTTGGTGGGCCGTATGATCATTGGACAACTCTTCGCTTCCTTTCTATCTTCAGCTCGGCAGACTCCGTATCAAGACAAATAAAATGAAATGAAATGATATGACATAGGGTTTAACGCCCTGAGTTAATGAAGACACATAAACTTAGGGCCTACCTGGTACTTTCTTTTTAAAACATTCATAGTTGTCAATGTCTACCCAGGCGCGGATCCAGGATTTTTTGCAGGGGAAGGTCTAGGTTGGATAATTGCTTAACTAATTGCGGTGGGCGTAGCCCCCCCCCCGCGCGAGCGTCGAAGGCTCTAAACGTTGTAACGGGGGATCTGGGGGCTCTCCCCCAGAAAAAGTTGGTAAATTAGATTCAATTTGGTGCATTCTGACGTATTTCCGGAAGGTAAATTCCAAAATTACAGGTCTAAAAATCGCCAATAAAATCGCATAAAATATCCTTAAAATGTTGATGGGGAAAGCTCCCTTCACAGGTGAGGAACAGAATATCTTCAGATACCATATTATGGTTGTTCTTAACAAGCTTTATTAGCAGTATCAATTTACTATTAGAGTAACCAGTCCATTTAAGTATAGGAAAGTTGGTCGGGGTTTTCCAGAGCACAAACCAGTTTTTTTTCTTATCAACGCTGCCGATAAAATTAAAAAGAAAACACAACAATATTCAACGTCAACAGGCGAACAGCGTTAATAAAACTCTTTAAATTTCAATAAACTTATATTTTCATACAGTACGGTATTAAAAATTGCCGTCGTTAATAGGCGATTTGCCGTGGGGTCAATTGGTCCCGACGGCAATTTATGCTGTCGACGTTTTTGGCTAATTGCCAGAGCTGTATGTGACTATTTGTTTTTGCCCACAGTGAAATGAAGGTCATGACTCAACGCAATGTATACAAACTCGCTTTTAGATTTAAGTTTCTCGGACCCTTCAAATTTTCAAGCCTGGCCAGGAGGGGGGGGGGCGTCCGGACCCCCTGGACCCCCCCTCTGGATCCGCGCCTGCTACTTCCATTTTTAAATAGAAATAACATATTTGACTTTAAAGTTAATGGCCATAATTTTTTATAAAATTATAAAATATAATATTAAAGGGGAGGAGGGGAGTCGAACGGCAGGGTGGTAAATGCAGAAAAGCACCCAAACAAATTCCACCGCAAAAGTTAGCTTTTGATTACCATTCAGTAGGTTATTCTACTTTTAAAAACAAAAGTGTCCCAAAATGAAACACCAGGAATGCAAAATCTGAAAGTTAAGGCCCACTGCAGACTTCCTCAAGGTTGCGTATTTTGTGTAAGTTTTTAATCGCAAAATTCTACTTGTAAAGAGTGTTGAATTATTATAAATTTTAGTCAGATGTGGCGAGAAATGATTCCTTTTGACAAACAAAGAAGAATCAGGGTGAAAAATAGTCGGTAAGGATTCCAAGATAGCATTAGAACAGAAGTGGGGAAGGGACGCATAGGAAAGTCCAGAGGACATAGTCCGACCAGAGACCGTTCTAGAGGAACTAGCGAGGCCGTGGCAGGATAGAGCATTTGACGCATATCATCACCTGAAATCAGAACCTTGCCTGCGATAAACAAAAATAATGAACAAGTATTAAACGTAAAGATCAAACCTAATGGAGCACCGGATGATATCAGTCGCACAAGCAACTCGACAGTTAGCTAACAACGTTGAGATATACATGTACTGGTGTACTTGGGACCGGTTTGTTTGGCATTTTTGGTGACTATGTCCGACCGGAGACCGTTAATTCTTTCCCTTAGTACCTTTTTTGGTCTCTCCTACGTACTGTTTTTCACATTGTCTACAGAAAATTAGATAAATTATGTTTGAACTGCGCGACCCATAAAGGATTTTCTCCTTGCAATATTGAAAACTGTCGAGTAAGATTTGTACCCATGTCAGGTTGGATTATATGCTTAATTGTAGTTGTGTGTGGCAGAAATGTAAAAAAAAAAAAAAAAAAATTAAATAAAAATTTGATGGTTCTGCCAATTGAATTCGATTTTATTCGGCAAGGCTGTGGTAAATAAGAACTAGTAGATGTGGTGCATTAGAAGGTGTGGTACATTAGGGTTAGGGCAAAATAGTAAGACCCGCGAATATCGAAAATAGAGAAAATACGTTGATTTGTTTCTTATTCTGCTCTAATAGTTTGAACTACCGGACATTTCGAAACGAAAAGAAAAGGGATATGAGTTTATCTCCCTAAATTATGGTGTGCCACAAGGATGGGTATTGCGCCCAATCTTATTTACCATGTACACTAATCAACTAGATCAAATTATAAATGGATCTCGGCTATCACATCATCAATTTACTGATGGCATCCAGCTAATAGAGAGTTTGTTTGTACATATGTCAAATTTCTGGACGCTCGGGCCAAGTCTGGCGGCCCAAGGCCCACTACGTCTCTGAAAACAAATGAGCAGTAACTGTAATTGATGGGGTAATTATTAACTGTGTCTAATGTTGACATATTTTGACACAGCTGATACTTTCTGTACAAGACTATCACGTTTACCATTTGTATCTAGACCTTGGTTCATATATAGTCGACTGCATAACAGCTTGCATTAGATTTGGGAGGGGGATCTGCATGTGGCCAGATAAAAGATGTTCGTGTGATCTGGGAAAGTTTTGGACGTTTGGGGGAAACTAGTGCATATCATGCATATTTGGAGAAGTATAATATCAGTTCATATTATTCATGTTTGGTGTATTAAAGTAGCTAAGTATTTAACTCAATATCATCCAAAGTCTTCGACACTTTAAACACGAATTATTTGTCAATTTAAATCAACATTGATGTTGTGATCTTACCGGGAAAAGATGGGCTTCTGATATCCAATATTTAAGACAAAATAAACATTTTACCATTGGTACACGAATCGTGTACCATAATGCGTTTCAGCCCCATTTGTAACAAGCGACTCGAAGAACGAGGCTAGACATATTCCACAAGTCATATCAAACGGTGACGCTATTCTCTTATCTGGAGAGGATGCTCAATAAATATTATCGGTGTGAACTGGAATGACCAGACGCTAGAGATTGCCATTCGACTGAGACTGAATGTAAATCAGTTTATATACATTCATATTACATTATTACATGCCTTGCGACCTATTTGTGTAAATTTCTAGGTCCCAAATATTAGCGATTTAGCTCCTTTAATATCTGAAAGTTCAATAACTGGATTGTTCATATCTTCTGGTGTGGGTTTGTTTACCTCTGCAGTGGGGGAGTAAGTAGGCCTACTGTTCTGTGTTACCTAACCTGGTTTTTCACTACTGTCATTTTGACCTTTCGACTTCTTTTTCTTTCATATTTTACAGGTTTTTCCGAATTCATAAGAGGTGCGATTCTGTTACAGACGAAATGAATAACGTTAACACGTTTAAAGCAATCTTTCGAGTCTATAAATACACAGGGCTCTCACAAGCCTAGGTGGAGCCCCATGGAGAAATTTTTATTGAAACCTTAACACTTTGGGACGAACGGTTTTATGTTTGGAGGGAGAGGCGAATCTATATCAGAAATAACAATTTTTAAAGAGGAATTATCCTGATCCCCCCAAAAATGTAGTTAATTTGTTATAATACGATGTTCAAAACAGCTCCAGACTCCACACCCGCTGTCTTTGATCCGACAAATTATGAGAACTGCGAATGCC